CCCCCCCGCCGGCCCTGCGGGGATGGCGCTACCGAAGCACCCTCTGCAGCAGGCGCCGTGTCCCGCGGACGGGCCGCGCTCGCTCGGTGTGCGGGAGCGTCGCGGCTCCCGGAGCGATGCCCGAGCTCCGCCTGCGCTCGGTCTCAGCGCATCGGAAATGCCCATCAGCAGCTTTCTGACAGCCCCACGTCTCCAGATAACCCACATTGCTCTGTTTTGTAGTAAGCAATCGAGAAAAAGAAACCTCGAGCAATCCTTCAAGCAAAAACGGCACTGGAGACTACTCATCTCGGGCACGGGTTTGGCAGGTGGTCCCTGTTCTCCAACAACCTTTAACTTCGTTATTTATCTCCCGTAACACTGAGTATTTTCAGAAGAGAAGCTAACAACCTCACCTACGAGTTTAGTAGTTAGGGAATTTGTTCCCTCTCCTTACAGTCATTAATTAGCTGTGAGAGAATATAATGAATATTTCTTTTTATTTCACGTGAGAAACAGTGAATGTTGTTTTATTTTGTACCGTCTCTTTTTAGGGGTTAGGTATCTTCATCAAGTATCATAAGCATTGAATTCAGCATTCATTGCACAGTATAGTATTTGAAACAAGAACTCACTACAGGAAAAAATCTAGGAGTTTGAACAATTAATTTCACAAAACCCCTGCTTTTAATGAATACAATGTTGCAGGTAAACAAATACATAATATTGACCCCGACAAATTTCAAACAAAGCGAATGTTTGTTGTTAGAATCTCTGCAAGAAGCTGATAGTTTTCTCTGCTAGAAGTAGACACCTCTACAGAAATACATTTAGCGTTATTATGACTGTATTTCTTTACATGATTAAATAAATTCAAAAAAATAATGCTGAAGTCACTTCTGGAATACCTTATCCAAGAAGAGCTTGCTTTGTAGTTCAGCTACTAAGGAAAGAACACAAGTAAGGACATCGCTAAATTACCAGCTGTTCAGCCAGCGAAGCAAACGTCGAAACATCACTCGGTTGCTGCTCTGTGCAATGTCAGAGGACTGCTACAGGAAAGTGGCTGGAGGTAGATCTCCCTCATCCATCCTCACATTAATCTTCTTTTCACATAAAAGGGCATTTCAAAAGCCTGGCCTATTAATCCTTCCTTAAAATACTAAATAAATCCGGGGGGGGGTGGGGAAGGAAGTTGAAACAGTGTCAATCTAGAGAAAAGTTCTCATAGTAATCGAAGCGATGCTCTGTACAGACGGCGCATTCTGCAGACAGAACAAGCAAGCTTTTTTCTGCAGCCGTTTTGGGCATGGGGATGCGCTCAACACCAAGTTCAGTCCTCACCCTTTGGACACACCATCAGCGTATTTACGTACCACCAGTTGTCCCCTAACATTCTAGCAAAGTTAACCTTTGACACTGATCCATTTGCATATTTATTCACCAAATAAATTTTTACCATATTTTTTTCTACTTACCGAAATACCCTCTTTGACTACAGAGCGTTTCAGGAAAATCCGTGTGCTATATGCTCTGTGTTTTCATCTCATATCAGAGAGATGAGCTGCAGAAGCAGCTGTTTAAAAGTACAATTCCATCTATAACTTGGCAGCTTTTTAACTGCAGCAGCAGCAAACACTATGTTTGATACTCACAACAGAGTCATCTTGCAGATTTCTGACAAGTGTTTCTATATGAAGGGCTTTGAAATAGCTAGAGGCTAGCAGCAGTTTACAGACAGTGAGGGTATCAAAAGGTATGGGCCCGGTTTTACTCATAGATCCATTCGTGAGCGCAGCTTCTGTAGTCAACCAGTTCTTCAGGAGCGAACCATAAATTGATCTCTGTCTCAGCACTCTCTACAGAATCACTTCCATGAATGATGTTCCTAGGAAAAGAGAAGGTGGATATGAAAGTAATATAATCCTCAAAGCAAAGCAAGTTGCTTTTTCTGAAGTTGTCTCCCTTATGGAGAGAAGTTTGAACTAGCTGTGAAGCAGCACTAGGCACGGAGTACGCCGTCCCGGCTTTGCTCATCGTTTTTACCAGTGGGGAAGACCACAACTTGACTTCCACCTTTAGATGGTAACATTACGTGGGCACAGGGAACAGCAGCTCCGTGCGTAAGATAGAGGAGGATGGAGGACAGTTCCTACATATATTGGACATATATCATGACATACCCCTGGACATTTAGCATCTTTAGACGATATCAACAGTTTCAAAATATACCTTCCAACCTGAACGCAGAGGTCACCCCGAATAGTGCCAGGCTTTGAATCGAATGGATTAGTTTCCCCCAGCATCACTCTTCCAGTCTTAATCACGTTAAGACCTTCCCACACCTTAAGAACAAAAAAGAGAGATTTTAAATCTTAGCAGTAGATAAAATAGCAGGAGTTAATCATACCTTCCAGAATTACACAATGCTGCCCACTGTGGCACAAATCCGTGTATTTCGAATAGCAAGACAAATTTTCTCTCCAGTTTTTCTGTTAGATTCTTGAAGCATCTGCTGAAGTTCTCCCCTTCTGCACAACACTTCTGCTCACCAAGGATGGGAAGAGAGTAATTGTAAGCCTCAGTATGGTAAAAACCCTTACAAAGCTGTCTGCTCATCAAAGATCTAGACCTCCAGCTAAACTATTTTACAAATACACTATCAAGGGAAAAAAAGAGAAAATCCCTTCCAGTGCAGTTAGACTGAAAATATTTTCAAAGTTACTATAGCTTAGGAGTATAGTAAAAATACTCGGCCACCATTTTTCATCTTGCTTAATTCATGGCACTTCATCGGGGTTTTTTGTGCAGGTTTTACTGTTTCTCAGGGTCCCAGCTTTGGTTCCCCCTGCTCTCCTCCTCAACACACTGACTCAAAGGAGAGAAAGATTATGAGAAAAGATGAAAGAAAAAGGAGTTAACAGCACATTTCCCAATTGCAGCATTTGAACCTAGGTTTTAAAGTCCTTTTAAAAGTAAACTAGAATTCAGTAGGTAACACAATCTCATTGCAGGTAAGACAATTGAACACTATATTTTTCTTAGCTGAGCTTCATTTTTAAGAACTCACCATAGCTACAACGGGTCCAGAGTGCATATACTGCACCAGACCGTCATAGAACGGCCGGTCTTTTAGGTCAATGTAGTGTTCTCTCAGGAGGTCTTCAGAGGCCTGCATTAAAAACCAAACAACAAAAAAAAAGCTTTCAGTAAGACCTTCAGAGCATACTGAAATCACAGCGATTAACCACAGAGCACTATTAATCCTGAAACATACACGCACCAGAAAACTCAGCGTTTCTAGCATCTTCCTAGGAGTGCTTTCAGTCGGTACGAATTTGAGCTGTTTGTTTTAACCACAGCTGAACCTCGAACAGTACCTGTTGTCCATATAGACAGCTTACGTGACCTGGTATTTGCTGAAGATATTCAGAGATATTTACTAGGCCTAGGATGGACCTAAAAGAATATTCTCTTCAGACTAAGGACATCAAGTTACTAAAATTAGCGTGCTTAGCATGTCTAAAGCATTTAGCCAGAGCTGGGAATTGGAACTTTTCCAGAAATGTCCAAAATAGTCAAAAACTTCTCAAAAGCGCAGTGTTAATTGTTCGGAAGGCTGCATCCGCCATCACAGCGCGCTGCTCTCTGTCAACGCTCCAGTCTCATACGAAAGGAGAGACGTGCAAGTTACGGGAAGCTTACGTGTGTTAACTTCATGGCCACCAGTTTGAACCCCTTCTGCTCGAACCGCCTGATGATCTCCCCCACCAGCCCCCGCTGGACCCCGTCGGGCTTGATGGCGATGAAGGTGCGCTCGGCGACGGAAGCCATCGTCCTGAGGAGCGAGGGAGGGAGCAGCAGGCGTTACTCGGGAGCAGGGGCAATGCCACCGCAGCCCGGCGTCGCCTGGCGTATCTTCTGATGTAACTAACGCGGCGGCGTCTGAGGGTGGCGAGCCCACGGGCCGCGGCGGGTC